TTTTCGTTTTTTACATACACCATATCTCCAATTTCAAAATTAGATTTGTTTGCATTTTTGTCATATTCTTGTTTTCTTTTTATTTTTACTGCATTTATCAATTTTCTGGCATTTGAAATTGTATTTTTTAGCCGAATATGCAATTCGTTTGCATAATTTTCAGTGTCATAGCATTTGTTTACTTTATTTATATTGTCGCTTGACAGCGATGGTAATTTACCATATACTAGCTCATAAGGTGAATAACCAGTGTCTGTGTGTGGTGTTGTGTTGTATGCGAATGTGTAGTATGGTATCCATTTGTACCATTCGTAATCGTCAGCAAAAGTTAGTAAATATTCGTTTAGTTTTCTGTGGTTTCGTTCTAGTGACCCAATTGTTTGATGGTGATACGGAACTGAAAATACTTGCTTTGTATTTAGTAGTGTGCATACGTTGTGCATTAATTCATTAATAAATTCTGTTCCTCTGTCAGATTTTAATGTTTGTATGAAACCGTATTTAAGAATGAGTTGTTCGACTAGCGTAGTTGCAATGGTTTTTGCATCTTTAGTTTCAATTGGATGTGCTATAACGAATTTTGATAAATCGCATTGCATCGTTAATATGTATCTGTAGCCGTTTGAGATACGAAGTGGGCCTACTGTGTCGATTGAGACTGTACTGAATGTTAAAGTTGGTGTGTCTGTCACTACAAGCGGTTCTTTAATATGTTTTATTGTTTTATTCTGTGCACATTTTGTGCAATTGTTGATAAATTCTTTAACCATTTGCCGCATGTTTTTCCATATATATCTTTGTATTAATTTTAAAATTGTCTTCCTAACACCTAAATGACCTGATATGTTGGAAGTATGGAATTCGTCTATTAATTTGTATTTAAGTATCGCACTATGTATTTCCTTTAGACCTTTATATATTAGTATTCTTATTGGCGCGCTTTTATTTTCTTTGAGCTCATTATATTTATTCTTGAATGCATTCATATTATTATTTTCAAATATATATTCTTGTTCACAAAGGGCTAGCTCCTTTATATGTGAACTATGCATAGTACTATGTAGTTTCTCCAACATTGAATCTAGTTTCAAAGGGTCATCGCTACATGTAACTTGCACTTCATTATTAATTATTTCAATTGTAGTACTACTTTCTTTATCAATTTTAAATTTTAATTTCTTTAAATTTTTAACGTCATTAAAGGATGTGCAAATTAAACTATTATTTTTTTGTGTAGCTTCTGCTACCACTTTATTTAAAATGTTTCTTAAGACTAACTATATCCATAATTTTTACTCGTATTTGTACCAAGAATTCGAAGTATCGAATCCCGATAATATATTTCGTTGTTTGCTTAGGACAGCCAACGATAATAATAAATATTTGGTTACAATGTTTAGTTACAATGTTTAGTTACAATGATTAGTTAATACAATAGATAATATTTCGTTGTTTACTTAGGACAGACAACGATCATTAAGAAATGTTTAGTTACAATGTTTGGTTATTTCCAATTTCCTGTTTAATACAATAGATAATACTTCGTTGTTTACTTAGAACAGACAACGATCATTAAGAAATGTTTAGTTAATACAATAGATAATATTTCGTTGTTTATTTAGGACAAACAATGATCATTAAGAAATGTTTAGTTAATACAATAGATAATATTTCGTTGTTTATTTAGGACAGACAACGATAAACACAATAATTAGTGTAGGAGACGAGACTTGATAACTTGCATTTCCATATGTGAAGTTGATCAGACTTCTTTGGAGATGTGTCTCTAATGCGTTCCGCGGATAATTCATTGTATTCATTTTTCTTATATGTTTGCGCCTTTTTATTTTTATTATCTTTACATGCATGCTTAAATTCTTCATTCTTACTAAATTTTGCGGCCTTGCTCCTTGTTAATATGTTAATTTTTATATTTCCTACGTCATTTTCTGTAGTAGGTATCATTGCTTTCAGTGTATCGCTATCTATTTTGATGCGTGACAGTGCATCTGCGTTTGTATTTATTTTACCTTGTTTGTAAATAATTTCGAAGTCATAATCAGATAAATCTACTCTGATTCTTGTCATTTTTGATGACGGATTTTTGTGTGTAAATAATGAGACTAGTGGTATGTGGTCTGTTACCACGATGAATTTTGTGCCATAGAGATATGTTCTAAACTGGTTGATGCCTCAATGAGTGGCTACTAATTCTTTTTCGATTATGAGCTTATTGATATCATGTTTTTGCAGGGCTTTACTTGCATAAGCGATTGGCAAATCATGACCTATTTCGTCTTGTGATAATATTGCTCCTAGGGTAAAGTCAGATGCGTCAGTTGTTAGTATAAATGGTTTGTCGAAATTTGGGTATTGTAAGATTGGCGGGTTTATCAATTTATTTTTTAATGTGTTAAATGCTTTTTCGCATTCTTTCGACCAAATGAATGGTTGTCCATTTTTTAATAATGTGTTTAAACACTTCGCTATCAGTGCAAAATACGGTATGAATCGTCTGTAATAATTGCAAAATGCAATTATGGGGTAATTGCGTACAGTGTCGCATTTGGCTGGGTCAGTTTTGACACCTTTATCTGTAATTAAATGACCGAGGTAGAGGACTTCTGGTTTTAAAAATTCACATTTAATTGGCGTTTAATTTTAGATTATATTTTTTTAGTCTTTCGAAAACTTCTATTAAATTTTTGTTGTGGTGTTTTATTGAACATCCAAATAACATAATGTCGTCTACATAAAGGAAAGGTTCTGACTTTAGTCCAGATAGCGCTATTGTTAGCATGCGTTGAAAGCTATTTGATGAAATTTTTAATCCAAAAGGTAATCGTTTGAAAGGAACTGGTCATATCTAAAGTTGTAAAATATTTTGCTCTTCCAAGCGTATCTAATATGTCTTCCAGTCTTGTTAGTGGAAATTTGTCGTTGACGATTTTGTCATTTAACTTTCTATAGTCTACTACTAGTCGCCATTTTTGATTACTATTTTAATCATTCTTTTTTTGTACTAGGAGTAGTGGTGAACTATAGGGACTAACTGATGGTTCGATTATATTGTCTTCAATCAAGTTATTTATTTGTTTTTGGATTTCGTCCTGTTGTGAGTGCGGTAGTCTATAATTTTTTATATGAACCGGTGAACTATCTGTAAGGCTTAGTTTTTGTGTATAAAAAGAATTTGTGGACAGACTTTTGCCTTCAAGATGGAATACTGATTGATATTTTCTGAATACTTCGTGTAGTTCATTCTCTGTTTGTTTGTCTACATTTCCTAGTTTTAATTCTTTTATCAATTTATTGAAACGGTTGTTATCATAAATATTTGGTTTTTGATATGCTGTCATAATATTGTGATCTGATAAATTCTCTGTTATGCATTTTATTTGTTTTATTTGCGCTGTATGATTGTTAACGTTCATAATCTTTATGTGGCAAATTCCTTTTGCGGGTGCTATAGAATTAGCTAGGAATACTCCTTGTTCTATTTCCTGATTTAAAATTATGCTATCTTTGTTTATTTTTAAATTTATCGGCACTATCACTTCTGTTCTGTGTGGTATTTCTAAAATTTCATTTGATTGTAACTGTGTGTTTATCGTTAATGTGTTTTCATTATTGTTAATTGTCGCAGTTAATGTGAACGTTTCGTAGTCAATTTTGCATAAATGTTTGATGAGGAAATCTCTGCCTAAAATTCCATCAGTTGAAGTGGGGAAGTCATCTGTGACTAAATGGAAATTAATGCTAGTACTATCTTTACCTATTTGAAAAGTTAGCTCAGCTGTGCCTACTGAAGTGATTTCGTCTTTTGTGATACCGGTTAATTTGCTTTTGTTACTACTATTGTAGTTAAATTCATTATTGAATGGGTTTTTGCATATGGATATGTCGGCTCCTGTGTCTATTAGAAATGTCATGGGTTTGTTGAATTGTATATTATAAATTGTGATAAAGTTTGTTAAATTCTGGCAGGATCGCCATGTAATGTTTATAAATGCTAGTTTGTATGCAAGATCGCCAAGTAATGTGAGACGCAATATATGCGAACAGTTATTCCTGCTTAATTCGAGCATGCATCCTAATCCTATTGATACAATCAAGAACAAGTAATGAATCGGCTTGTTTCCGCTGGTACCTAGGCCAGTGTTACGTAGCCAAAAGCGTTCGAGAATAATTTAACAACGCATAGGTTTTGCAGTCATAAGTATATTCTGAATTTATTGAACAATAATTTGGGTATTTATACATTTTTCTAGTTTGTAGCGATCTCATGACTCCGCCTCTTAATTCCAGACAAAACCTGGAAAAGTATAACGGCAGCCAATCAAAGTGATTGCTGACCTTGCAGAATGCATTGCATTGCGACTATACTGTTTGCTCATTTAGGTCAAACGTCAAAGTTATTATTAGAGTGCATTGACAATATTGCTTGCACATGTCGATTGCAATATAGGAAATATTATTATTGAAAGTATTGTAACATGTTGTTTAATCATAAGCTTTTTTATGATTTTTTAAATATTAGTCTTTTTCTTTACTTAATTTTCTTACACGTTGTGAAATTATTTATAAAAAACGCAGGCATTTTTAACTATATAAACATATATTTGCATAAAAGAAAATATATATATGTGGAAAGAAAGTATATGAGGTGTTATTTTCAAATGTTTTACTTCAATACACTATTTGTTTAAAAAACTAAAATTAATGTTTTTTTAGCGCACAGAACGTCTTCTTATACACACCTTTTAAAGAGAACAGAACCGGCTTTTTTACAATAGAATTCAAGTTGCAAATTAACATGCGTACGAATAATTGAGTGCGAATGTCAAGAGCTGAAAGCTCAAATGAGTAAACGAAATGACTCAAAACTGGTATTGATCTTGCTCTACATTATTCGTACACATGTTAAAATGCTTACAAACTCAACTTGCTAGATCTACCAAAGCACCGTGCTCCAACATCCCGCCCCCCTTGAAAGGATTTCAAGCTGGCAATAGTGCAAGTTTGTGGATTGGTCGACGGATGACTCCTTTGGATGTCTGCAGATCGACTACGCGAATATGCTTATCTGGACCATTTACACAGTGAATGATTCTTCCCATCAGCCAACGTTGTGGGGGCATATTATCCTCGTGGATTATTACTAATGTTCCATTGCTGACGTTTGATTGTTCCTTTGTCCATTTGGTACGTGTCTGCAGCTCGTTTAGATAATCTCGAGCCCATCGGCGCCAGAAATGATGTTTTACAGCCTTCACACGGACCCACTTATCTGCTAGTGGCAATTTATCATACTGAGATGTTGGTTCCGGTAATGTCTTAAGTGGGCCGCCGATAAGAAAATGTGCTGGTGTCAATGCATCATAGTCGCTTGGATCGCAAGACAGCGGTGATATTGGTCTCGAATTAAGTATGGCCTCGATTTCAATTAGTACTGTTCCAAGTTCCTCAAACGTAAGACGAGTGTTTGCAAGGGTTCGGTTCAGATGGCCCTTAGCACTTTTCACAGCCGCCTCCCATAGCCCACCGAAGTGAGGCGTCCTAGGCGGTATAAAATTGAAGTTGATAAATTGATTGGTGCAAAAAGTCTGCAAATTAGATTGGTTAGTTTTATTAAATAAAAAGTTTTTCAAGTCAGCCAGCTTGTTGCTAGCACCAACAAAATTTGTTGCATTATCGCAGTAGATATCTGATGGCAGTCCCCTTCTGCCGATCAATCTTTTTAGTGCTGCGATAAAGGCGTCCGTAGTTAAATCTGACACTGCCTCGATGTGTGCCGCCTTTGTTGATAAGCAGACGAAGATAGCTATATACGTTTTGAATGGGGTTTTTCCCCGAATACCAAGATACGTTAATACTGGCCCACAAAAATCTACTGCTGTACGAGCGAATGGCCTACTGGGAGTGACGCGTTCAATAGGGAGGTTACCCATTATTTGACCAAGCAATTTCGGTTTGTAACGCACGCAGTGAATGCAAGACCGAACCGTTCGACGCGCAATATCGCGAATGTTTAGTATCCAAAACTTAAGTCGAGTAAGGGCGATTAATGCCTTGGCTCCTGCATGATAGTTGCTCAGATGAAGATGCCGAACGTACAATTCCACAAAATAACAGCCTTTAGGCAGTAGAATCGGATGTCGCTGACCCATGGCAATGTCACTAAGTGCGAGACGCCCTCCTACCTTTAAGAGTTGATAACCTGACGCTTCCTCCAAGAATGGGTTTAGGTGCTTGAGTGACCCTTCCACTGGATTACCTCGCTGTAGGCCTTGTATATCCTGAGAAAAAAAATGATTTTGGATAATCCAAACAATGCAATGCAGTGCTTTTTGTAATTGCATAGGTTGAATGACCTCTACGTCAGCTTTCTCTTTATACTTGGTTAACTGATGGAATCGATGTAGTTGCGCTACTATTCGTAGTATTTTAGCATAGGAGCCATACCTTGATATAACTGTCAGCAAATAATTTTCTTTAGTTACCTGAGTAAACGCAAGTTTCCTTCTTTCCTTATTGACTACTTCCATATCTAAATTGCTATGTTCTGGTTGAGGCCAATGTTTTCTTTCACGTAATAAAAATTCTGGTCCAGTGAACCACGTAGACTCCGTTAGTTGGCGATTGGTACAACCACGAGAAACAATATCAGCTGGATTAATTTTTGTAGATATGTGCTGCCACTGACCAGCGCGAGTTATATCTTGGATTTCAGCCACACGGTTGCCTACAAAGGCAGATAGAGTCGAGGAATGTTGTTTCAACCAATGCAGAACTATTTGGGAATCCGTCCAAAAAAATGTTTCTCCTTCGAGGTGAGCGAGTGTCGGCTGAATTTTTTGTAATAACCTGGCAAGTAGTAACGCACCACATAACTCTAACTTAGGCAACGATTTCCTCTTTATCGGAGCTACGCGGGATTTTGCAGTAAATAGTTTGACTGTCACGTTACCTGACTTATCCTGAGAACGAAGATAAATGCAACATCCATATGCTCTTATTGAGGCATCACAAAATCCGTGGATGTCTACTTGTTGAGGGCCTATTGTTAGGCAAAATCGCGGTATCTTCATAGACGAAAGTGTATGGAGGTCTTGAACGAACGTTTCCCATGCAGAGTGAAGAGCTTGAGGTACTGACTCATCCCAATTCAAACGAAGCAGCCAGAGTTCTTGCATAATAATTTTTGAAACAAGTACAAGTGGAGCGAGTAACCCAAGAGGATCGAACAGTGATGAGGCCAGTGATAGAATAGAACGTTTTGTTACCGTACGACTAATCGGGACGTTGAACGAAAATAGAAACACATCATGAAGTTGATGCCATTTGATGCCCAATGCGCTAGTGATCGTATCCGAACCCAGATCCCAACTCTTCGTTGTAGTGTCGCTTACAAAATCCACATGATTAGAATGCCATTTATCCAATTCAAAACAACCTTCCTTCAGAATTGCAGTCAGTTGATGTTTAATTTCGACAAGTTCTTCACTGGAGTCGGCTCCGCCAATAAAATCATCCACAAAAAATGACGATTTAAGAAGTGGAGAGCCTAATGGGTATTTGTCTTTATATTTATCGGCCAAATATTGTAAACTTCTAGTTGATAAAAACGGCGCCGATGCTGTGCCATAAGTGACAGTATTGAGTTCGTAAGTACTAACAGGCTCCGCATCTGTGTCTCTCCAGAGGATATATTGAAACCGTCGATCTCCTTTATCCACCAAAATTTGTCGGAACATCTTTACGATGTCGGCTGTCAGAGCATAACGGTATAAGCGAAACTGAAGAAGGAGCAGATATAGTTCCGGCTGAATGGTAGGGCCTACCAGCAAAATGTCATTTAGCGCACGACTAGATGAGGTTGGACATGATGCGTCAAAAACTACTCTCAACTTTGTTGACGTGCTGGAAGGCTTCAGAACACAATGGTGAGGGATATAGTAATGCGGTTCGTTCAATTTGGGATCTTCGACGCGCGTCATATGCCCTAACTCCAGATATTGTTTCATGAACTCCCAGTAATCGCGTTTTAATGCAGGATTGGATGATAAGCGTCGTTCTATACCTAGAAGTCGACGCAAGGCAATGCTGTGTGTCAGACCGAGGGTGGTTGGTGGTTCCTTAAATGGTAATCGAACTACAATTCTTCCGTCCATAGCTTGTCGAACTGTTTCTTGATAGGAGGTCTCGCACTTCGATTGCTCTGGTGACCACGATTTTTCAGCTGATTGTACTTCCTCTATCTTCCACATCATTTCTAGTTGTTTAGATACGGTATCATCTAGTGACATTAGGCAGTTTGCAACTGTGGGATTATCGAGAACACCTTGACATCTACCGGATACCACCCATCCAAACAATGTTTTTTGCAGGACTGGAAGATTCGCACCCAATTTAATTTGACCGATGGATAAAATGTCAAAGAAGCTTTCTGTGCCTAGTAAGAGATCGATACGTTTGGATTTAAAAAATAGTTCATCTGCGAGTGAAGTATTCGGCGGGAGGTTCCATGATGATACATCAATTTCTGAGCTTGGCTGGTAAGCAATATGAGGAGTAACGCAGAAGTTGAGATCCAGCTCAAGATTTGAATGACGTGACTTTACGATAGTGGATGTTTGATGCTTTATATTAGCAAATGTGCTGCCTATACTTGCCACATGTACCGGTCGCTTGTATTTGACCAAATTAAGATTTTTTGAGAATTCCTCTGTTATAAAATTAACCTGCGAGCACGAATCGAGTAACGCTCTCCCCACTTGATAACCTCCAACTGAATCTTTCACCAAAACCAGCGCCGTAGCTAAAATTATTTGTTCATTTGAAGACATATCAAGATGAGAGTGACTGATAACATTGTTATTGGGCAACAGAGTTTGCCTTGTGGTATTTAGTGAATCCGAAACCTGGTCATTGCTATTGGATTGGTGCAAGAGTGTGTGATGTGACTTTGCGCATATTCGGCATTTGAATGATGATGTGCAATTGGCCACTCGATGCCGGGGCGATAGACAGTTAATGCAGAGTTTCAAACATTTCGCCTTCTCAAATCTTTGGTTAACTTCCATAGTTTTAAAACGAGGGCATTTCTGCACTAAATGTTCATGACTTGAACAAAGTAAGCAGGACTGGGTGGAAGTAGCTGTAGCGAACGAATACTGGTTAGGACGATTGATGGGTTTGGCCTTAATATTGTTGGCTTTACGATGTACCGATAGATGGTTGTATGGCTTGTGATCGAGAGATTCTAGAAACTGACAATGTCTGTCAAGCAGTGCTGAACAGTCGTTCCAACTAGGTAGAGTGGTGAGAGATAGCGCCTCCTTCCATTTCCTACGTGTAGTTTCATCCACCCTCTGCATTACCAATGAAATGAGTATTGCCTCACATATTTGTTTTTCAGAGCCTAACGTGCAGAGTGAACCGTACAGTGCAGACACATTATCGATTAGGCTGCGAAGTTGGTGGCTAGACTGATCCGAAACCACTGGCAAATCAAATAAAGCTGTAATGTTTTCTAAGAAAATCAGCGTACTGTTGTCATACCGTGTTTTAAGTCGCTCTAAAGCCTTCGGATAATTTTCATTACAAATGGGGAATGCCTGCACTGTTTCTAATGCTTGGCCCGTTAGACAATTTCGTAAATGGTTAAATTTTTCGATGTTGGTTAGACACGCTTCTCGATCAATAATTTGGACGAAAGAATTGATGAAGTTCTTGTATTCGGAGTACTTACCACTGAACGTGGGTAATTTCAAATGCGGCAACTTCTTACTCACAGGAGGTATCAATGCTGTGTTGTCCATCATTGTAGAATTATTAGCTTCATCATTCAGCTGCGAAGATATGGAAATTTTTGTTGAAATATAAAGCTCCTCTAAGTCAGCTCTGCACGTATCGGTAGCATCTAGTTTCTCAATTGATGTCTGAAATGATAAGACCTGTTTAAAGTAAGAATCTAGGATACCTTGCCTACATTTTAATTCCGGCTGTGACAATAATTTTCCAGTCCCCTTTATGTGGGTTTCGATCAACCCTTTAATCCTACTGATACTCGCTTTGGTTGAGGCCCTTTGCTGTTTGAGTTCTGCCAATTCTGACATGGCCGTCTGGCTTGTGTTGGGTGTTGTCATCTCGATTTAATAAATTATTGATGAGTCAAAATAATTACACTCTCCGAAAGTCTAATAGATATTATATCACGACACGATACCGAAATAGTGCACAAATTCGAAAGTCACTAAGCACTTGCGCATAAATAGTTGTGCTACAACGATAATTAATCGGTTGACCGAATGATGCGAACGAAAGCGAAAGTTCTAAGCACATGCACTTAAATAATTGTGCGACAACGATAAATTAATCGGTTGACTGAATGATGCGAACGAAAGCGAAAGTTCTAAGCACATGCACTTAAATAATTGTGCGACAACGATTAATTAATCGGTTGACTGAATGATGCGAACGAAAGCGAAAGTTCTAAGCACATGCACTTAAATAATTGTGCGACAACGATTAATTAATCGGTTGACCGAATGATGCGAACGAAAGCGAAAGTTCTAAGCACATGCACTTAAATAATTGTGCGACAACGATTAATTAATCGGTTGACCGAATAATGTGAACGAAAGCGAAAGTTCTAAGCACATGCACTTAAATAATTGTGCGACAACGATTAATTAATCGGTTGACCGAATAATGTGAACGAAAGCGAAAGTTCTAAGCACATGCACTTAAATAATTGTGCGACAACGATTAATTAATCGGTTGACCGAATGATGCGAACGAAAGCGAAAGTTCTAAGCACATGCACTTAAATAATTGTGCATAGAGTAGCGGTTATTGTCCGCATATTACCGAACCTCGACACTCGAATAACGTTTATTTTACCACGCGGTAACCACGACCATTAATTAACGTTAAGTTTAGAAATTCCGTTTGAAATTAGTAATTTTATTAATTTGCAAATATTATTTTTAAATAATTTTTTATGATATATTTATAAACCAAATTAGAATTTATTTTTAACATTTAAATTAACACTTTTTGTCTAAAATTAATCTTTGCTAATTATACACCTTGAAGTGTTTTATTTTTTATGTCTGTTATTTGTTGTTTTAAGTAAGAACCTTTCTTCCTAGAAAATTTGTTACACGGCACTTAAAACGTTGATCTTTGATTAGTACTTATGCCCGTTTTTTTAAAACGTTCGAATATTATTTTCATATTAGTGTCCTGTCACGGTCGCCAATGTTTAATCACATGTGTTCAGCAATCATCAAATAGCCTGTTCCGAATTTTGAAAACTTATCTATAATAGTTAATCTGGTATGATTGTTTATTGCGTAAACATCAATGTGTAAAATATCTAAAGGTTTCGGAGGTGTTTCTGGTTTCTCGAACTTTGGCTTTGGAAGGTTTCTGTCGTATTTTTGTGTATTGCATATGTCGCAATTATTAATGGTTTGTGTTATTTTATTTCTCATAAATGGAAAATAGTATTGCCTTTTGAGGTGAAGGTGTTTTTCATTTATGCCCCTGTGGTTACTACAATCATGGTAATTCCTTATAATTTGTTCTTGATCATCAGTTTGGTTTACGTCCGTCAGTATTTCAGTGCAACGTATTAAATGGAATATCCGATTATTAGAAAAGTACTTAGAGTAGGTGGTCTGAACTATTTGAAAAGTATCATCATCTGTATAGATAGCAGAGAGTTTATTAGGAGCCAAATACTGTTTGAAAATTTGAGTCATAATTTCCTCATTGTGAAAAGGTCTTCTTATTATTTGTCTCTGTTTATTTCTAAACAAATTTTCACCTGTAGTCTCAGGTGATCCAGTATCTTGTTTTAGTAGAATTTGGAGATTGAAATCATTAAGTGGTTTTTCTGAAATTGATATTCCATCGTTAAGATTTTCATTGACAGAGTGAATTGTTGTACCATTTCTAGCATTATGTGAATCCGCGTCGTTGAGATTAACGTCTATAATGGGGTTTGATTTTTCCAGTATGATTCTGCTTAGAGCATCGGCATTGGGATTTACCTTACCCTTTTTATAGATTATTTCATAATCATATTCTTCTAACTTTAAACGCCATCTAACTAATTTGGAATTAGGTTCTTTTAGACTCATAAGCCAAGTAAGCTGTCTATGGTCTGTTACTATTTGAAATTTCCTACCATAAAGGTATGGGCGAAAGTATTTTGTTGCCCATATAATTGCTAATAGTTATTTTTCTATGGTAGAATAGTTTATTTCTGAGTCTGAGAGAGTTATACTTGCAAAGCATATTGGTTTGTCACTTCCAATAGGACCTTGTGACAGAACAGCGCCTAAAGCAAAATTACTGGCGTCTGTTGTTAATATGAATGGTCTTGTAAAGTCTGGATATTGGAGGATTGGGTCATTTGTTAGAATTTGTCTACAAGTGTCAAAGGCTTGTACATAACGTTCATTAAGTATTATTTATTTATCTTTCTTCAGACATTCAGAAAGAGGTTTTGTAATTTTAGATAAGTCTTCAATAAATTTTCTGTAATAACCCCATAGTCCAAGAAAGGCTTTAATTTGTTTGCAATTTTTCGGGATAGGGTAATTTTGTATTGCTTCGATTTTTAAAAATTAATTCAAGACTATTCATGTGTTCTTGAATAGAACTAGAAAAGATTATTATGTCATCCAAGTAGACGAAGCATATTTTACCAATTAATTCTTTTAAGACATTATCCATTACTCTTTGAAAAGTTGAGGGTGCGTTTTTAAGACCAAATGGCATTCTCAAATATTCGTAATGTCAACCTTCTACTGTAAATGCGGTCTTTGAGACATCTCTAGGATGCATTTCAATTTGGTGAAATCCACTAGCTAAATCTAAAGTAGAGAAATAATTGCACTTTCCTAATTTGTCTAGAATTTCATTGATATTGGGAAGTGGGTACCTATCGGATATAGTCTTTTCATTCAATCTCCTGTAATCGATTACAAGCTGCCATTTTTGTTTTCCGCTGGCATCCTTTTTCTTTGGAACTATCCATACAGACGAGCTCCATGGGGAAAAACTTGGTCATATTATTCCTTGTTTAAGCATTTCAGCAATTTAGCTTTGTACTTCATCTTTGTGGATGAATGGATACCTGTAGGATTTAGTGTATATTGGAATATCATCAACTGTTGATATTTTATGTTTTATTTCATTAGAGAAGGTTAACTGTTCCTCTTTCCTATAAAAAATATCCTTATTCTTTTTGCATAGCTTCAGAAGGTTTTGTTTTTCTTCTGAGTTTAAGTGATCTAATCTAAGAAGATGTGATAAATCTATGTAGCTTTCTGTATGTTATTAGTGTGAATCTCTGTATACTCTGGGCTTATATTATTTATTTCTATGAAATCTGTCAGGTTATACGGGTTTACTTTAAGTGGCTGCTCAACAAAAATCATTTGTTCATTTTCTGAAAAGTTTCTGATGTTATTAACATCTTCGGTATAAGTTGAGCTATTCATATATTGATCTAGTTGTTGGTGGTATGAACTTGGTTTTTGTAGTGTCCTACTGTTAATGTTGTGGCATTCTTCTGATTTAATCTAGGTTGTCCAGAATATCTCGATCTTATATGTTAGTTACATTTGACTGATTATTCCTGTAGTTTGGAATTGAGTTTCTGGAATTTGTGAAGCCCGATCTTGCGTCCATTGATTCTGATGTGTGTTGTTTGGAAATAAACTGTGCATATTTGTCATTTATAGTGTTATTTTTGAACATGTTATGGTTTGGATTAAACTTACTGTATGTGGGTGGGTTATTAGGTCGTGCGTTACTAGGAGTTATGTTATTACGAAAGTTTTGTGTATTTATAGTAATTCTTGTTTAGTGATTATAAGGGTAATATTGTCTATACTGTCTTCTGTAGTTGTTTGTGCTTGGTTCTGTTCTCATATAATAAATTGTTCTTTAAGGCAATAAGATAAGGCAACAGATAGAGATTCTGGTCGCATAGCTCTAATGCTTGAACCTAGTGGTTTTTTAAGGCCTGTCAGAAATTAATTTAGACACATTTCTGCAAAAAGTTTTTTTTTCGCTGTGACAACATTTTGTTCCATTTCATGGATTAAAACATTGTTACAAAGTGTTGCTTGTATTTCTATTATTTAACTGAAAAAATTGTCCACTATATTATTATCTTGTCTAAGATTGTGAAGGTCTCTTATTAATGACGTTTCAGATCTTTTATCTGAATAATGTAGAATTAAATTAGTTTTCATATTGTTCCATACCAATGGAGTTCCATACATATTTAGTACTTCGTTTGTTGACCCTATAATTTTATTTCTGATTGCCCTAAGTAGAATTTGTCCTTGTGGAGTATTATTAGTGCCTCTTGTAAATAACAAGATTTCTTTAACGTTATTTAAAAATTCATAAAGTAGCCAATTCATATATTTATTAATCTATTTTGTGCATATTATTCAAATCAAGTGTGGACAATTATATATAGTGAGGAAGTATTTGATTGTCTTCAAATATTATATTGCACCATTTTGTGTCCAAGAAACTGTGCTTTCGCTCATACGTACTCGTATTTACTCCCATATTTATGCTGCTCTTGAAAGCTTCAATAAACGTCGAGTATGATTTCTTATTTTAGTAATAATTTAGATAATTGTGGACGAAATTGATTGATTTTTACCTTATTTGAAAGCTAATATGTTAAAGAATAATATTAATTTGGTACAAATAGCAAAAGGTGAAAAATACGAGAGATGATAGCGAAGAAATTTGAAAAAAGTGAAAAAATGGCATTTTTCCGAAGTTTAAGTTCGATGAGCGACCTCTAAACATTATCCGATTAGTCTAAAACTTCATATTTAGTAGTTTTTTGAGTATTCTATTAAATTTACGGGGTGGCATCTAGAATTTGAACACATTTTTTTGCCCCCATACATATTACGGCCACCCTAATATATATATTTTTAAATTTTGTACATGCGTATAAAATTTATATTATTTTATCTTGATTATTTATTTTATATATTAAATGATTATTATTTTCAAAATTCAGGTTTCCACTTACATGCAGATGATTATTAGTTGGCGCATCTCGTTGAGGTTCTCTCCTGGTAGTCGTATAGTA